AGCTCTGCCCGAGCCTCTGAAGAGTTTCCTGGTGAACTTCTCGCCGGCGTCTCTGTCCCTGGCCTCAACTCCGCTTCTAAAAACCGCAGCAGCTTCCAGAGACTTACCGGTGCATTCCATTGAAAACTCAGACCATGCTACCAGAAAGGAAATTGGTCTGCTTCGTAACTCTTCAGGAGGAGAGAATGCCATTCATCTAATTCCCGTCATTCTGTTCCTCTGCGGTTTTGTACTTTGGATTTTCTCTCATCCTACGAAACTGTAAACTTGGTTTTATGTAACTTAAATATGTGGTCTCTTTAGCAGACGTAGTTATAGCCACATTAGTTAGAGCGAGCACACGTGCTCATCTTACGCACATATGCAGATATCTTATTTGCTCTCTACAACAAAAAAAAAAAAAAGTTGATAATATGGAAATGTAAATTCGTAATCACCATTAATATGATCGTGACATTGAGACGATGATATTTCCTAGCTTTGTCCTTGGTTTTGCCGTAAATTTATACTTAATTAACCAATTTCTGATTGCTCTTGCTCATATATTTGAGGGTGCTAGTTGTCATCTTGGAGGCAATAGGAATTGGATGGGCTTGGTCAAGACCCAATATCTTCCCAACCATAAGGCTTCAATCTTCACCCACCTCTAACCCTACCACATTTTCCCAAGCATCCAAGATCATCGGGATTGTGATACTTTAGGTCAATCAAACATTGTTATATATTGTGCCTCCCTCGTACATGCTTAGGTGTGTGATAAAAGATAACCATATTATAGAATTTTAAGTGTATGGAAGTTCTTTTCGTGTTCGGGATCTCTTATTTGTTATTTTCTCAAAAGAGATCGATAATGGCAAAGAATGACGTGGATCCATTATCCATGTATGCAACGATACATTAAATACGTGTCGTAGGAGGTCATATTTATTTCCCATAAATAAAGAATAACAAATGAAATAGAAAGGTGAGAGAAATGAATAACGTTGTTTCAATTTTGGTTCGACAGCTTTGAATGTTGTTGTGCTCTCCAAGCAAACTCATGAATATCACAGAGGATAATGGAGGATGGCCAAAAGTGACATTCCAACTTTATTAAAACCAATATTATGAAGAAACGTGTTATCCAAGAAACTATATACGTTTTCTACATTTCGCTTAAATAAATTAGTTTTATGTAAGCTTTATGTAAATAGCAAACAGATAAGATAGACCTAAGTTTTCTTGTTGTCTTCTATTGAATCTTATGAAAATGTCTATCTTATCCACTTAACCATTTAGTCTCTCACTTTTTTATGTGTTGTTAAGTTTTGTTAAAACTTCTGTTAATGTGTTGATATATCATTCATGTGACGGCCACACAATCAAAGAAATATTGCCATGTGGATAAATTACAAAATCAAAATTGCAAAATAGTTTGGAATCTAAAGCGGAAAAAAAGTAAACAAAAAACCAAGGCTTAAATGTTAAAATAGTCCTTGTGTTTTACTTTTTAGTCAATTTAGGTTCCTATGTTTTTAAAACTAGTTTAGTCATTGTGTTTAACACAGTTAGCCAATTAAGTCTAATCTGTTAACTTGCTGTTAAATTATTGAAAGTTTTATTATCATACACTTAAATTCAATTTTGAAATAGAAAGGAACACACCATAATCCAAGCCATCACCACCCCACCAGCACCTAGTCTCTGTCGACATGGCCATCCCCGTTCTTAAGCCAATCCCTCGTTGTTCTCGCCGACAGGCCACATCGTTGGTGTCACCCCAATCGCTATCACGGCGCCCATGCTCCACCATCTCCCACTACATCCCCCCTCTTCTACTGTCTCCGCCTTGTTTAAATATCATCATCTCCCTTAAGTCCCCTTCCCCTTTGTTCAATTTTTTTAAGTTTTAATATTATACTAATCAACTTTTTTAAATAGTTTTAAAAAACCCTTATAATTTCAGAAAACTAAGTTTAAGAAGTTTGTTTTAACGGTAATTTAATTAAAAGGATGACGTTGGCTAATGGTCTCAAACACGGAATGACGTTGGCCAAATGAGTATAAAACAGAGACATTGGGTATATGTGTAAATAAGCCTTATTAGTATTTTGACAAAAGATAACATAACCTACACTAAATTCGTTTACACTATGGAAAAAAGAATTTTAATGGATTCTCAAATTGAAATGACGGAAAACAAAAGGTGAATATATTTTGTATATAACGGGTTAATTAACGCATGGATTATCAATTCACAAGGGACAAACAAGAAGTAAGTACAACTAATCCTTGTTACGTGTATGCCCACCCAAATGGGAGGGACTGAGGGTGAGAGGGCTATGGTTGCACGGTGGCTTGGCTAAGTTGGCTTATCCAAACTGCCAAATATGTGGTCTCGCATGAACATCATCATCCTTTTTTTTTTCTTTTTTTTTTTTTTTTTAATAATTTAGAATGTTATGCTATATATCACAATTAATTATAAACGACAACTGGTTGATGAAGATAATGACAGGCAAATGTCACTTCATTAGAAAATTAAAATTATATACTTTTACCAGAAATTAGGTTCCCTAGCTCGAGTTTAAATCTTTTGCACTTACAAATTTTTATGGTTTATTTGTGACCTATTTTCTTGAGAGATATGTGTTCTTTTGACTTAATTTATCTTTAGGTTTTAATTTTTTCTATTAAGGAGATAAGTTAAAGAGTTAATATTGTAAAGTAGGGTTTGAATGAATGACCAAGTGTCAACAAATAAGATAAATTACAGAGAGACCACATAGACTTTGGGATATAGAAGATTTGAACGCCCCTAACTCTCCCCTTAATATCTCAAATCTCAAACACCTTTTATATTTTCGGAAGTAAATTTGCAGATTTTGGGGTCTAAGATTATTTCTCTACTAAGTGAAAAATGAAGGTTAAAAAATAGCGCCGTATTGCTTGGTTTATGAAAACTTGACCCTTGAACGATCACCATGCACTGCATGGAAAAGACATGCTAATTGCAAGCATGATCCCCGTGCTTTGAAGAAAATAAGTATTGACCGCCATGCATGCGTAAGGAAGAAATCTAGTTTTTGATCTAATTTAGTCTAACTTATTTCTTTATTGTCCTTTCGTAACACGCAGAGTGATAGCATTTACATTTAGTACACCAAAAAATTACTCCCTAATCGTGGATTACGTAATTTGAACTAACCCTGCAAACTTCAAATAAGTTACTGTCATCATGTTGCTTACTTTATGAGTATATATCGACTATATGGTATATACAATACAAAATTGATATATTATACATATGAAAGTTAAATACAATATGCGTGTTGACATGTTCTTCACAGGTTCTAGTCAAAACAGTTGATCATATACATTTTGAGTTAGCCACCGTTTGCAGTTCAAATTCAAAGTAAGACAACTCTCTGGTCTCTAATTATATATTTGGTCTTCCTTAACTGGTCCCCAAGAAAAAAGAAAAACAAAACCTCACGTATCCAAAGATGCTTTTCGATTTTTTTTTTTTTTTTTTATCAACAATTTCAAGTTTTCAATAGATTATCAAATCATGTTGCTTCTTTTTTAGTATCAAAGTCCTCTATTTCCCTATTTACTAATTTAGGAATATCTATATTTATTTGTCCCAATTATAATTTTATGTTCGATTCCTCAAATTCTTATGTTCGATTCCCTTGTTTTAGTACAAGAAATGTTTCAATTAATTTACATTAAGAGGTAAGGGGAAGGGTCTAAATCTAGAACGCAAAAAGTTGAAGCAGGAAATCCTAACTACTAAGACAATTCACCACTTGTTGGTTTCTCTTCTTCTTGATATTGAATAAAAGTGAAAACAAGGGTGACCTCAAGCCAATAAGGTTCTCCGATTTGCAAAGGTCGGGAGAGGTACGTCAATCGTACGTAGTCTTACCCTTACTTTGCAAAGAAACTGTTTCCATAACTTGAACATGTGACCTTTTGGTCAAGGCTCGCCTTCTTCATATTTGAATAAAAGTAAAGGAAAAAAAAGAAAAGAAAACTAGAGAATTCTTTCGCAAACTTTCCTAATACAAAATACCAAGCATTCTTTTTTTATTTATTTTTTAATTTTAAGGAAAACTAATGAAAAGTGCTTGAAAACTTTGAGTTTTAATGATAAGGACAAAATAAAGGGTAAAGTGAATAGTACCAGGATTGACTTTTTAGTGTAAAAATATGATTTTTCGTTAAAGTAAATAGTACCGCGAATTTTTCATTAAAACTCTCTTTATTTTATGAAAATCATTAGTTTAAGAAATTATGCAATCATAAATTCGATATCCAACATAATATTTGGAAAATTCCTTGGGATGGATAACCATTCATTCACCCATATCTCAATTTGGCATCCAAACGAACGCAATTCTACAATAGAAGCCAACGTGACAATCCAATAATTAATTAGCTCGTGAAAATGCAATTAAATATTCATTATGTTAAATTTGCTGATTAGAGCAATGTGTTTGCCCCTTACTTAAGTTGGATTTCCTTCTTTTTATACTAAAGTAATTTAAAATATATTTTTCTTAAAAAAAGTAATTTTCATTTAGTAACCATGAAAGTAATAACATAGTCAAAATTGTAACTAATGTTTTTCTTCTTTTTACATAGCTTGAAAGTTTGACTTGGAATTGCGCACAAGCGATTTGAAACAAAAAAACGTAAATATAAACAAGTTGTAAACTCGTAAGTGGCTTGTAGCTTAATCTTCCGTGTTAGAATTTCTCTTTTTATAGTTTAGAATAACCTTTCATCTGTCAAAAATACAAGTTATAAACTCAAATTGTATATATTCAGATTTGCAGTCAAAATTTAACCCGAGGTAAATAATTCTCAAAATACAAATCGTAAATGGAAAAGGGTAAAAAAGGGGAGAGGATAAATGTAAACAGTTAATTCCCACCTCAACAAGCTATTTTTGGGCAGGTGGCAACTTGGCATAGAAACCAAAACCATGCCATATTCGTTGCTTATTAAGCTAAATATTTGGACCTTTTAAATACCCACAAAAATATTAAAAAAAATGAATCACATAAAAAAACAATAAAACTAACACAAAAACACAAGAACAACAACAAGAATCACAGAGTTCAAACTTTTTCTGATTACCAAAATTTTCTCTCTGAATTGGAAAGAAGGTCAGTGAAAAAGCTCTGTTTACTTTTCTTAATTCTTTAATCTCTCTCTGCATTTATATTTTTTTATTAAATTTGTTTGCTTTGCAATCTGTTTATCTCCTTTCAGTTTAATCTTCTTCTGGGTGAAGAGAATGAATTGACAGAAAAAAAAGTTTTGATTTTTCGTATTGGGTTCAATCGTTTTCCTTCCCCAGACTGTTTGGTTGCCGAGAAAACGGTGGAAACAGGAAGAAAATAAATATTGGGTTGGTCTGTAATTTTGCTGGTTTGGTAGATGGTTTTGGGAAATTGGGTCGATGAAACTAAACCATGTAGTTGAATTTAGCTCAGTTGAATGCTGGTTTGAGTCTTCTCATGTCTTAATCAATGAAAAAGTTGGGAATTTAAAGTTTGGTGCTTTTTTAATTTTCTTGATTTTCTCAGCAGCCAAACAGAGCATATTGGCAGTCCGATTTGAATTTCTGATCTTGTTCAATTTTTTTTTCCTTTAATCTTAAACCAAAGGGTTTCTGCAAGTTTTTCAATTTCATGACTGTTTGGCTGAATAGAAGATGCAGAGAAACGTTGAAATTTAAATCATTGAATATTTTTTTTATCTTACTTGTTTGCTTAGATTCTCTAATTTTTTTTTTTTTTTTTTTTAATCTTATTTCATGACTGTTTCGAATCCATTAATTGCCATTGATCTTCACTCTTCCTTATCAGATGCTGAGATTAATATAATCTTATTCTGTAATTTGGATTCTGTCTTGTGTCTTACGTTAGTTCTATTGTTGAAAGCAGGTTTATAATTGGGAATTTGCATCTAGCATCATGAAATTCAAACGAGGGAGCAATGTCGAAGTATTGAGCAAAAAGGAGATGCCTTCAGGCTGCTGGTGCTGTGCTAAGATAATCTGCGGTAATGGCCACAACTACACAGTCAGATATGATGCATATGAGGGTAATGCTGATAACGCCGTTGTGGAGAGGGTATCCAGAGATGCCATCAGGCCATGCCCACCTCCACTGGAAGTTTCAGAGAATTTAATTCCTGGTGATGTCATTGAGGTTTTTGACAAACTTTCTTGGAAAATGGCAACAATTACAAAGGTTTTGGGAAGGGAGTGCTTTTTAATCAGGCCAGTCGGATCCTCCCGGCAGTACAAGGTCAGAAATTTTGAAATCCGAGTCAGACAGTTTTGGCAAGATGACAAATGGGTTGTGATTGGAAAGGTAATATCATCCTAATATATTTCCCGATGCAATTTGTTTATTAGCATTTTTCAGTTTTATGTGTCCAAGAGTTTAAGTGTTAATGAGGACCTCGAAAAGATGGATTAAAGTTAATCAGTAGTCGTACAAAATATAAGCATCAATAACAGTGATTGATATAAACTCTGTAGGGTTTCGTTTTGAATGTTTGAAGTTGGAAGTTTTCTTTGGTTTTAGGATAGTACTTATCATAAATAACTTTCAGTAGATTTCCTCTATGTTGTTTCCATGTGCTAATCTTTGGTTACTTGCTTGCAGGGTTTGAACCATTATGAGAATCGACAACGTGGTGAACTTTTAACTCTAAAGTTCAACCAAAATTCATACCTTAAAGCTCAGAAGAATGTAACAAAGACTGCCTCCTCTCATCTGAAGAGAAGATCACCCTACTTTTGTTCTCAAGATGAAGCATATGATGGATCTGCTGAGAAGTTTAGAGCTGGTGATAAAGAGGGCAGGTGTCTCCGAGTAATTTCTGCGAATTTATCTACATTTTCTGAACAGTTAGATGTTGATTTACCAAGACGTATGCAGGGTGGAAAAGATTTACGTGCTTCTCTTTACAACAGAAAAACTGTATTGCCTGATGTGGATGTGGAAAGGAGGAAACCAAATGGTGATGTTGGGCGTGCGTTTGCTGTGAACCTTAAATCGAATGATGCTGATAGTATTACGTGCTCTGTTGGTAGTTGTAGTATCTATACGAATGATTCCAATAAGTTACCTCCTCCTGTTTCAGCTAGTTCTACTGAAGATTTTGATGATCAGTTTTCTGATGCTGAATCTATTTGTCAATTGGGATATAAGGGAGGAATCTCTCTCCTTCCTGCTAAAGAAGAATTGGCAGCAGAGATCCATAGGTTAGAGTTGCATGCTTACCGTTGCACGATAGGGGCATTACATGCATCAGGACCTTTAAGTTGGGAACAAGAAGAATTGGTGACAAATCTTCGTCTTTCACTCCATATATCAAATGATGAACATTTAATGGAGCTTAGAAACCTAATTTCTGGAGATACCAGCATTCATATCAGATGACAGGAAATCTGGAACTGCGTCTTCTGATTCATATTTTTCTTGTAGCTGTAGAATCTCGATGAGCATTTTCATTAATGACCTCGCTCCACTGTAAGAAACAAGATGAGATGTTTTGATGTTCTTTTGTGTTTAGTTAACAAGACATAGTTCAAACGCAATGTAGTACAAACTTTTCCAAGTATGCCTTTTATCAAAGTCTTCGTTGTGAATCAATTATTCTTTTTTTTGCTTTTCTCTGGGTTTGTACTGACAGCATATCAATATTTAGAGGTTCAAAATAAACTTTACCATATGAAGTTTCTGTATTTTCCGTGTAAGCATTTGGGTATTATCGATGTATATTGCAACTTAAGAGTAATGAATGTGCATGTTCGCTTATCACACATCTGTACATTTAGTGATATAGAGTGTTGTATCTTTTCTTTGTTTGTTGATTTCTGAGGCTAATTTGTTTCGCTTCGGTTCCTTGAGTTGTATTTAATATGCTCCATGATTTCATTTGTGGGCAGTATTAATGCATCCACTGCGTTTTCCAGGGCCAAAGTAGGAGGCTTGTCGCCTTGCTTTCAAGTCTCCAAAGATGAGCTTGGGGCATGCCAGCTTTCTCTCGGCCTAGACTCGAGGGCAATTTAAGACAGCTTCTGATGCTGCTGTTCTCATTAACATATCCGGTCTCTTCATTCGTCCATGTCACTATGTCAGGCCACCTGTGAGCCTTAGCTATGTGTTTTGCTGAGGATGTAAGACAATCTTGTTGCTAACACAGGATGACATGTGATTTGGATGCTCGAAAGGTTTTAATTCAAACATTTTCTTCAGCGCGTCCACCTACAAATTACTTAGTGATATCTTTTTTATTCTCCATCTGCTACAAGATTATCATGTGATCGCAGATCTTTTTTCACAATATTCTTCGTTTCTGTGTGTTTTTTTCCTTTCTATTTTCTGATCAAGGGTATTTTTGAATGTAAAGTTCAGGATATTGAAATTGTCCATAAGCATGGGAAGTATATTTTGAAGCTTAAAGTTCAATGAAAAAGGTAAGCATTGTTATTGAACCAATATAACAACAAATTTGGCTGGAGAGTAAACGGCTTGTGTTGATTATGCAGAAGCCAAATGCATTTTAAATAACTGATGAATTCTAGGTTTTCTTTTTCCAGTTTTTGGAAAGTTCTTCAAAACAAACCAAGATACTAAAAGTCAGCTTTGTTTCTTATTGTTTCTACTTCTAAGGTGCATCTGAAAGTTGTAGCTTGACAAATTTTACATTGTAAATTTTCCAAAAGATGTGATTAATATGTACCTTAGCTGCATATTTTTCTCTATTGAAGTGTTTGAATACGCCATTCACTGAGTTATGGTGGTCCTCTTGCTGGAATAAAGGTTGGTATCTTATGTTGATCAGCATGAAGTATGCAAGTTTTTTCTTGATATTATTCAGAAGCTATATCTTAAGTTGATCAGCAGGACGTATGCAATTTTTTTCTTGATATTATTCCTCAGCTTCTGATTCGGAGTGTTTCAAACTTGCAAGTTTCAACCTCTATTCTTCGGTCAACAAATCAGTAACCAATTTGCCAAATCTTCAGGTGTAAACAGCAAGTAGATGTCAATGTATAAGCTACTCGACTACCCTACAGATCTTCAATTCTTTGTGATTATTGTAGTTTTTATATGTAATAGATCTGACTGGTTCTCTAGCTTAGACTCATTGCTTTAGCTTTGGCAACTGGATCATTTTTCCATTTTGACCAGAGAGCAGAGTGATGAACAATATGTTCCAAGAAAAGGCGAATGGAGAACTGCGAATAAAGCGTATGAGTACGCTTTTGCTTGCCCTGATCTACAAAAATTGTCAACCATGTTCTTTTACAGCAAGAGTTGAATTGAGGTAGGCCAGAAAGGGTTAAATTGGTTGCAGGAAGGAAACAAAGTTGTCTTTTTCTGTTAATGGTACATTAGATTGTCGTTGTTCTTAATCATTAGCTTTTGTCCTTGTCAAGTTTCTGTAGAAAAACATTACCTCTTCGTTTTCTGTCCTTGTCAAGTTTCTGTAGTAAAACATTACCTGTTTTTTACGTCCTTTGTAGTTTGAAGGGGTAATTTGTTTTTACTGCACCTTCTGTTTAAGCATTGCCTGAATTACAGTTTTTATGGTTCCTGCTGCAGGTGCTTTCGACGAAAACTATATATCAGCTTGGCAAGAAACCAACCTGAAAGCTACATATCCAACTACCAGAAACTTTTGATTATGGTAAGAATTGATGGTTGGTCCGTGGTATATGCTCATGAATGTGAACTGCAAAATATTCCAGGATGACATCACGCTCGGAAAAATTTCATTGCCTCGGCAATCACAAATAATTCAGCCAAATCTGTGATCACTTGTATCGTCATCCCCTATGGCAAGTCTGGCAGTGAGAAAGCTCATGCCAGAAATTCGTTTGTTTTTTATCACCAGAGAATTCACTGCATGAGATGAGATGAGACCGTCACATGATTTTGCATCTCGTGAAGATTTTCATATCTTGTGGATATCTATAATTACTAACTTGAGGAGAAGGTCTTATATGGAGCGGGTTCACCGATTTGAACGTTAAGTGACGGTGAACCTGTTCCATGTAAGTTACTTAGGGGTCTGAAGTTCAAAAGAACAGCCAATTGTCCGCACACGCATAACAGCACTGTTTTATGGGCCCCTTGACAAAAGAAAAAACAATTTAAGGGGTCCAGGTTTAGGTATTGTACTTGCTAATAAGTAGGGATAAGACTTTTGGGCTTCATGTATCCCACATTGGGTTGCAACTTGCAACCCACCATCAGAAATCATATTAAATTTTGACAAGGATATGATTTGATGGCTTGGAAGAAAGCCCACTATGCACATCACAGCATAAGTTTTTGGATAAAATTACTATTCAAGTATTAAATGAAAAGCTAATAAAAAAAAAAGTATTGAATTGATATGCATTAAGTAGGAAAATTTTGGACAAGGGCATTTCTTGCACATCTTCACAACTACTGTTCTTCATTGATTACGATGAATTTTAGGTGAAACTAAGTAGATGTCCAAACCGACTAATATTAAAAAATTTTGCGAATGATTTGTGGGTATGGAAGAAATGCCACTCGAACACAAACCAAGTTAGTTCGTCCCAAAACGCGTTGAGGCAGTTGATTGGAAACTTAGGCTGCCTTTGTTAGAGAGGCTTGGGTTAGATAGTGTAATTCACTAGATTCGAGGCTAATTGCATGAAAAAATGGATGATAACTTTCAAATGATGTCCAATTTAAAGGTAAAAGATGGACATAACATATATTTTGCAGAAGGATTCTATGACTTTGAGTGCTTGGTACTACTACGGTCTTATTCACCCACGATGTGTTCGACTGCAGTGATGACAGAAAGCAGCGCAGAGGAAAACCACATGCCAATCTGCAACTTTATATACGCGTCCTTCGAAGTTCATATGTCGATTAAAATTTGCTATTTTTCTTCTTTTGTTTCTTAATTTCTCGTCTCCTTCCTTGAGAGATAGAGAGTAATTAGATAGAATCTTAGGAGCAAAGGAGCAACCAAACAGGTGGGCTTGTCACAAAAATGACCAACAAAATTCCAAGGTGTCATTCTTTGCAAAGGCGTTTTTGGATTAAGAAATGAGTGGTGCATTTATGTGGCTCCACCAAATCCTCTCCTATTATCTCACTATAATCTCTTCATGATTGTCAATGCCATGTGATTTTGCCTCTCCCACAAATAGAGACAGATAGAGATGCTTCTCTATGACTGTGACTCAATTAGTTGGATTAAGCCTCCTAATGAAGCTCAATGGTTCTTATTTCAACCGTCATTAATCAGAAAACGATATGTATCTGTCATTTAAAGGTCAATTTACTTGGTTAAACTAAGCACCAACAACACAAAAAAAAAAAAAACAAAATTAAAACTACAGACTTTTATTGAAAAACGCTACCAACTCACAGAATCAAACTTTTATAAGAGTTACTGCAGCTTATTCCAATCAACTCGTGAACTTAACTTATATGTTGTTAAGTAAATTAGATGGCTTAGTTAAACCAAACACCAACAATAAAAACAAACAAAACTAACACTACGAAATTTTAACTTGCAAAGTCGGTTTTAAGCTACTGCAACTTGTTCCGACCCGAGAACTTAACTTATCAACAAATGACCTGGTTGGGGGTGCTTGGCTGCACCATCTTATTAATTATGACCTTCAATATGGACAAGAATGTTATAACTTATAAGTTGTCATCTGAATGTCCAACACAAAATTTAGTTACCTTCACCTAAGATATGCAACACTTATTAAATGCATGGCCGACTTTTTCTTTGTCTCTCCATCGAGTTTTCCATGCCACTTCCTTTTGGAACAATGAACACGCAAATGTGTATACGCTACTGTAAACTTGGATAGAAATTCAATCAAATCAGTATTAATGTATTGGGTTGTCAGCATATGTTGGGATCTGCTTAATATTTATATCAGATGCAGATCATGTTCATCACATTCCACTTAAATTAATTATCTGACATCTGGCATATATACATGCATATACATACATACATATGTGTGTGTGTGTATTATTACGTATACAACTAACTAGTCAAGCCTTGTGATCATATGGTAGGTGGAGAAGAAGATGATGGGGTAACTATCTGGAACACTGAGATATGGAATCATGTATGATATAGTATATAGGAGGAGTCAGAAGGTTATACGAAATTGGCAAATGGAGGCAAGAGAAAATGGCCAATCATGCAAAACAGAAAGAGCTAGGCCTTTGGACCGTCAAGGTCGCATTAATCAAGGGCAGACATTAGCCAGCTCAGTTCCTTTGGCATGGCTGCAAATTTGGGAGACAATATTGAAGGGAATTTGTATTAATATTGCTTTTCAATACTGGTGTAATATACTATACAATTTGATTAGGGAATTGGGAGATGACTCTGTCACAACCATAGATCTTAAGTATTTTCCTAGGGATCTATAAAACCCCAGTTTTTTAATTTGGTGGAGGGGACAAAAAAACCCATTTTAATTCTTGAGACAATATACAAGCTATGAGTTGGGACATCTTTCATGGAGATAATCAGTTTAATTAATCTCTTGTCCATGCCGACTGCCAAGAAAGTTTTGAATGTGCATGCGTTAATGAAGGGTGTTGTACCTAATTTATATGTTATAAGAAGGGTGATTGATAAATTTGATATATATACTAGAGATTTCATACTAATAAATAAAAAATAGCATGCATGCTTGTTATAATATTAGTAGATTATTAATACTATGTGACAGTGTGTCGATTACATTAAAAAACCTCTCATCCATAACATTTAGGCAATTAGCTTGCCCTTCCTGTTCTTAGGGTTAAATCGAACGGCTACTTGCACAAAAGAAGATAGTTTGTTCAAATAACTATAAGTCTATAACTTTACCCCAAGTTTTTCTGGAATATTGTCTCATGTATTAAATTATAAAGATGGAGAGGGAAATATTTATCAAATATTATTCACAAATGTAGCTTGACCTTTTAAGATGGAGCCATCAGTCATTGGAGTGTTGATTTTGTCGCCTAGCAAAGTTGGGGAGACATTGCCCTAGATGTTAATGTGGGAAGCATGCTCAGGACGAAGTACAAGTGAACAAAGAAGCCTCTAATCTATGAAAGAAAAGTTAAATTTAAACATTTTAAGATTAGGACATGGATTACTTTTAATCAGGGGAATCGTGTTACAGATTAAACAACTGGGAAAAAAGTTAATGAAGAATCAGATAGAAAGCAAGCAAAGGAAGCACACCTCACCAAGATTAATAAGAAATGCACATAACATAATAATGGTTCTTCATGTCCTTGCAGCACGAATTTTAAGATAATCGTCGTGATAAGGAAGAATAATCAGATTACAATCTACATAATAATGTAAATCCCAATTGTGTCCTAATACAAAGTTGTCGGTTCTGCGTGCAGTGAGAGAGACAGAGAGGTGATTTTTTTTTTTTGTGGGGTGGGGGGGGGGGGGGGTGGGGGTTGATGCTAGTATGCTACCGACCTTCTTAGTCAGACTATTTTGTTCTACTTTCTCAATTTTCTATCTAATTTTACAATGTTGAACGGTGATTGAAATCGTTTATGTTTTAGTTCAACCCCAAGAAAATCAATTCAATCATAAATGTTTAATGAATGTAGTTAAACTTTCAGTGTTTAATTGAAGAACATGGTTTGTCTATTTATTTGATAACCGCTAGATGCTAAACGATTTCAGAATCTGTTGATTTTGATAGAATTAATCTTCGAAAAGTGACATATAAATTTAAATCATCATGCAATATTGTAGAATAAGAATGTTCAATTGAGAAAATTGCTAACATTCCTCTAATTCGTGAATTTCAAAATTATGGATGATATAATAAGGCAATTAGGGATGAGTAATGAGATCACATGCCTCTTGGCATGCTGTTGTTGATTCCTTTAACAAAAAGCTAAAAATTATACAGCAAAACAGAAAGAGGAGAGATTTGTTACTTGCAGCTCAAAACCACATGCTTCCATGGGGACCATCAAACCCCAAAAATCAGAGAGGCTACCTTCCAAGAGCATGAGAAGATCCCAAAAAGTAATACAAAAATAAAGGTTTGGTTTCTCTCAAATCTTACTCCTTACTAAACTACAACTAAAAAGCCCTAAACCCCATAAAGGAGAATGTATCGAAAAAGTGCATTTGCATGCTGGATTGCAGTCTCTTAATTTGCTTTAAAACAATATTTCATGCCTTGGGTGCTGCATTTGTCCTTGCGTTGTTAGTAACACCAAAAATTAATAGTACATACATTTTTTAAAGAGGTATTTGTCGAATTTTTCTCTAAACTCGCAAGGAGCTGTCAATTTTTTTTATGAACTTTAATTTTAGCAAATTACTCATTGAAATTTGATAATTTGCCAATTTCCCCTTGAATTTTTATTTTAGCCGGTTATCCCCTGCACTTTTATAATTGGTCAATTTCCCTGTTAAATTTTAATTTTATGATTGCAGAAAGGTAATTTTATCCATATTGTAGACAACATATTGTTTTTTCTCTTCTTCTTCTTCTTCATCTAGTACACTTGTACACTTTTTGTTTGAATTTTAGTGTTTAGGGTTTGGAGAGAAATTAAAAATCAAGGGGGAAATTAGCCAATTTTAAAAGTTCACAGGGATAATTGGCTAAAATTAAAATTCAAGTGTAAAATTGGTCAGTTACAAAACTTGAGGAGGGTAATTGGCTTAAATCAAAGTTCAGGGAGAAATTAGTAGCTTCTTACAAGTTCCGAGAGGAGGGGGGATCGGCCAATACCTCTTTTTTAAAAGGAACTGTTATTGGCCTCCAAAAATTTCATTATGCACTCCTTACAAATATTATATATATATAAATATAAAAAGTTTAGAGTGTAAAATGAGAATTTTAAAGTACCAATAACAATTCTCTTTGAAAATTCAGAGAAAAAAAAAATTCAAGGATCAAGTATTTCAGCACCTAATGTTCATCACATAATATACAAGTTTTTCTTATGCATGTAAAATGGAAAAACTTGTTTCATTGTGAGCAATATTGTTTCCTAATGCTTGCTACTACTAACTACACGGACTCAACATTTTGAATAAATTATTAGGTGCCCCAAATGGTGTTATAAAAAATCTTCATGCATGCATAATATTTTATTAGACATAATTACATTGGGTTTCTCATCGTAACTGGTAGCCATTTCCCATATAGAATAGCATATATTATACAGCCTGCTGTAGAGTAAGCCATGAAATATGCAAATCTTAATGCGCACATAACTTTGCATTGGTAACATACATCAATACATTTGTTTGGGTTCCAACAGCTTGTTTTCCAATCAACCCAACTCGCTTCTCCCAAATTTCGAAATAAGTTTAACATATACAACTCCCGAAAACTCTACCGTTAAACTAATATGAAATGTAAGAAGTGTATTTGAACTCGAGTGCATAAAAGATAACACATGCTTTGATTGATCAATATAACTACGCCCACATTCAAAAATTGCCCAATAAATTCAATGTGGAAAAAGTGAAATTCTTCAAAGGCAGAGATATGTAACCAACCAAGGTCCATTGATGCGAATGATATCACAACCCTTGTAGAATAAAAGAGATCGGAATATACATTACATACAAACAATAGAGAAAGGAAGCTAACCTAGTTGTTAGCAATTCACTAATTCCTAATTAAATTCAGGGAAATTTAAAATAAAAAAATAAAAAAATAAAAAAAAAAGCTTACACGCCAGGGTTAGTTTTTTTCCTTTTCCCCTTTGGTAAGAAAACCATGGTCATGAGGGTCAGTAAAAAGCTAGATGAAAGGGAGTGCAACATCTTTCTCTTAAGATATTACCTTTGACCTTAATAAGCTTAGCTTCTATAGTTTTAAGGAAACCCAGCACAAAAAGAAACAAAAAAAAAAAAAAAAAAAAAAAAAAAAAAGGCCAAAAGGGTATTTCGGTCAATTCACTTCCAATCATACGGCACACTCACACGCAAATGACTGGTATTGCATAGTGACAATAAGAGATCATGGCCCTTGATTTCGATCTTGATCTTGATCTTGACCCTGATCATGTTGTGGCAGGCGTTGGAAAATGATGGGTACACCATATTGTGGGTGAAGTAGCATCAGTACCGTAGGTGCATGTTGATAGGTGGGGGCCAGCCTGAAAGAGAAGCGTTGAAGCATGATGGCAAGGGCTAGTTTTGCCTGCAACAGCGCTAGATTCTGCCCGATGCATGTGCGGACCCCAAGCCCGAATGGAATGAATGCCACCGGGTGCTTGGCCGCCCGCGCCACACCCTCCGCGAACCGTCCCGGGTTGAATTCCTTCGCATCATTGCCCCATATGCTCTGATCATGATGGACGGCTATGATCGGAATCAGAAGCTCAGTCCCACGTGGGACCTTGTATCCCCCGAGCTCCACATCTGTTCTTGACCGCCGGATCGTCGCGATCACAGGTGGGTACAATCGTAGTGATTCATTGAGGATCATATTCAGCTGCACACCATATCATTTGCCCCGTAAATAGAAGTTCGAATCAAAAGTGCGAAATGACTGAAATGCCCTCGGTGCCTAACTTGTGCATGTGCAAATGACTATGCTGCCGGTGGATGTTTTCAATCTAAACATGTAACAAAAAAGCAAAAGGTGGCCGTTTGTTTTTTTCAGGAAACAAACGTGGGACAAGAGACAAAACACGATTTCCGTCCTAATTAAAACATTATCCAAAGCTTTTGTTTGGCTTACCGTCTTAAGCTTTACAACATCATCTTTTGTGGGTATGTCACGTGATCCACACACCCTCAGCACCTCGTCACGTGCCTGTAGCTGCCACTGTGGGTGCATTGCTAGGAGAACCGTTGCCCATGTCAGCAAATTGGATGTGGTGTGTTTTCCCGCAAAGAAGAAGCCCTTGCATTCTTCAACAATGTCATTGACAGTGATGTTGGAAGAAGGGGAAGAATTTGAGGCCTGAATCATAAGACCTAGTAAATCTTTTGGACATTTATCATGCACATTGTCGCCCGAGTTCGAATTCTCTACCCGTCGATCGATCAGCTTTATCAACGACTTCCTAATTTGCTTGTCCAATTTCCAAGAATTTATGTTCCTTCTTGTGGGCAGGAATCTGAAAATCGAATTAAAATTTTAACCTTTTAAGTATCGCCGCCGGCGGTTATACTAAGGTGAAGTGCCATACAGATGCACAAGGGAGTTTTAATATACGTTACCTGTAACCGGGGATGCAAACTTTTTGAAAAGCATCGGTAACAAACGCCATTTGCTGAGCTTGTAGCCGGAAAACGGCCTTTCCATCTTCGTAGCTGCTTCCGAACGCCGTACGGGTAATTATGTCTTCAGTTAGGTTTTGGAACCACTCGGAAACTTCAATCTCTACCTCTCCGGAGCTGGACATTGCTGACCATTTGTCCATCACGTCTACTATACTTGTTGCCATCACCGGTATCAACAACTGAAATGAGTTATAGTTTCAATCAAATAATTTTCTTATAATTAAGTAAATATAAAAAATAATTAGGGAGTTAAATAAATATTTACCTTGACATTCTCCATATGGAAGGTAGGGGTAATAATTTTTCTGTGGCGAGCCCATTTTTCACCTTTGAGACTGAGGAGGCCATTACCTTCCAGCTTTTTAATAAGTGGGTGAGCCTCGTTTTTCTCATAAAATTCTGACTTCGAGGTAAATATTTCCCTAATTAGATCAGGATCAGCAACAGTGAGTCGAACTGTAGGTCCAAACCACACAAGAAATGTTGCACCTGCGGTAACAATATTGGAGAAAATTAAAAAACAGTAAAGTAATTATTATGTGGTTAAAATTTCAGGATTCAAAATCTTTGAACGTAACCGAATAAAATGTAGGTTGAATTTTTTATAAATAAATAAATTTAATAATGGAGGAGTAATTATAAGGATGTATAATGTAGTCCCTACAAAGAGAGCAAAAACAAAAGAAAGTAAGGAAGAAGACAACTCAAAGCGAAGCTATAAACAATACAAAACAGAAAAATACAAGTTCATTTGGGAAACTCAAGCCTTCCAAAAAAAACAAACAAAAGAAAACAAGACATGGAAAACTGAAAAAAAATAGTGAAAGCTTTACTCCCGCAAAAAGTTGAACATTTTTCATCATATTTCACTTTGAAAAGGGGAAAAAAAGGACATTAACAAGATTATTGTTACCATGGAGGTTTTAAAGGAAATGAATGGGAAAAAAAAAAAGTTGCGGAAAAGAACAAAATCTCAACTTCAACATCAAGCATCCAAGTTCAGAAGGAAAGAAAGCCTGAAAAAGGATTCAGGAGAAGTACCCAAAACTGAAAAAAAAAAAAAAAAAAAGCCTTTCAGAAAGCCATAAACTCTGAGCATCACAAAACCAAGGTAAAGGAACAATCATGTATGGTAGAAGATAGCACACATCAACAGCCACTTTAATGATTTTCAAGAAAAACATAAGGCCAAGATCCAAACATGTCAGTGCAATATCCAAATATTTAAAGGTTTTAAAACGAGAGAAAGGATGAGAAATGGTTTGTAGCTCAAATGTTTAATAGCGTTCTTCTTTTACACTCGAGGTCTGAGTTCGAATCCCCCTCCCTCAATATTGCTTGTATAAAAAAACAAGAGAAATGATGACAAGCCAAACAATTGAAAACCCAGTTGCTGAAACTTGAAATGACTTCAAAACAAGGAACCAAAAATGATGAATGAGAGAGAGAGAGAGAAGGAAGTACCATAGATTTTTCTCCAGTGATGGTAAAAAGGAAGAACTCTAGGGAGAATATGGTGAGAGGAGGAAGGAAGGGTTTGAGAGGAGGCCTTGATCATCATGCCGGCAAGTTCTTTGTAATTTCCAATGAAGAAACGGTAAGGGGGTCCTCTGATCCCTTGCTTCCCAAAATGTTGTTCAATTTTTCTGGGCCTCCACCAGAGAACCACCGCCATCCTCAGAGAAAAAACCAACACCATTAAAGATATGGAAACAAATTTGAGCCACGAAAAGAAGAGCTCCTGCTCCATCCTAACGTTCTAATAAAACCGCTCTCCTTTCCTTAGTATGGAGAGTGAAGCAGCCTTTCTTTGCTTTGCTTCTTTTACCTGCTTTGCTTGTGCTGCTGTTTACTAGTTATAGTGTTTCTTGGGTGGTTTTTGGGGTTTTAATACTACAAAAAGCTAAGAGAGAGAGAGAGAGAGAGAGAGAGAGAGAGAGGAGAGGAATTGTTTTAAGAGTAACGCTACAATTAATTATCACATTTTCCAATCATATTTTGTACCACTCTTCTAATAGAAGTTGGGTCCATTAAAACATGTCAGTTTCATTTCTGTTAGAGATATTGTAAGAGTAGCATTTTTATTGTTTTAGGATTCATTTGAAAGTATTTTTAAAAGAATAATACTTGGCTACTCAAAGGATGAGTAGGAACTCCTACTCAAAATTGTTTGTTACCAATTTATAGAACTTTATGTTTATAATCGGAATCGTTCATATTATAAATCACCTATGAAGATCCTCTCTAAAAAAATCAATTAAAACTAAGGTTGTTTACTCATCAAACTGTATAAAAACAAATGAACAAAATTGGTAAAAGCATTACGAACCGTCTATATATTTGCTAGAATACATTGGCTAAACGATCTTAGTTTTAATTCTTTTTTTTTTTTTCTTGCAGAGATAATTTTTACAGTGTGATTGATAATATAAACGGTTTTGATTATATGCACAAATCTTTGTGATTCAAATACTAAAAGTTTTGAGTAAGAGTTCCTACTGATCTTTGAGTAACCAAGTAATGTTCTTTTTAAAATGACTTAAAACGTTTTTAGTGAAAATATTTTTAGGTTTCAAAAACACTTCAAGTGTTTTTTCAAGATTCATTTACATTTTACTAAGAATTGGTTTCGAAAATATATCATTAAAAGTACTTTCAATTATTTTAAAAGTACACGCTTTAATTTAGGAGGGAGATAGGAGGATATAAGCAAGAGCAAGGCCAACGGCGTAGGGGGCGCCATTGGAAGCGCAAGGGTCAACAAGCTTTTTGTTAATGTTTCAATTTCCTACAATGTTACCCTTGTCTTTTTCTATTAGTATTATTATATCCCTCCGCTCGTTTTCCACCATCAATTTCTATTTCTCCTTCTTTCCTTATGAAATGTTTCAGTTTATTGAAAATATCACAACTTTCTTTTACTTTTCTTTGAAAAATAATGACACGTATAGCTCTGAATATTCTAATGTAGGAATGTTCCAAGCTTATAAGACGTTTTCGTTATGATTTTATATTTCATATTTCTCTCCCACCAATATATATATATATATATATATATATTGACATTCTAATACAAAAACTAATGCAGAACTGCTAATCGTTTGTACTATAAAAGGGATGACGCTTGCTTTACTAAGTTAAAGAAGTTCTTGATTCGTTATATTTTTTACTATATTTTTTAGAGTGGTTATATTCACACACATTATTTTACCTTTCATACCTTTTATGTTCATTTATGTCATTTGATCATGTTCAATTTATTCGATTTAATGATTAAAAATTAAGATGAATGTTTGAAAGGTAAAAAGAGGTGTGTGGATAGCATCATTCTATTCTTTATTGCTATTTCGTTATATGTTCCAATTCCATTTGACTTGAGTTTTGGAAGTTTACATAATTTAAGGATTTAATTAGAAAAATTTCCTCACCTAATTCCTATGTAGAATTACAGGATAGCATATATAATCATTTGATTTAGTGATTTTGAATTTTTACTGTTGGATTAAGTCTTGATTTCAAAACTCATGGATTGACAAAAATATAGTGACGTGGCAATTAATATGTAACTTTCACAACATTTATTGTTGTATTGTATGGTTTCTTGATTAAACTAAAATTATGAGCCCACAACATGTTTATATTCTTTTTACAAACAACGAAGAAAAAGATTTGTTAAAGTTATTGATCAGTCAACTCTATGATCTTATTCAATAATTATAACCCATGTTCTTAAATAGTTCTGTATTGACGTTGAAAGTAATGATAACCAAATCAAGACTTTTTTTGCACACTTATTTTTTTTCCAATCTAGCTACATAAAATAAGAAAAGTATCACATAAATATTGAACATCTAATAGGGTTTCTTGCTATCAAAATTATGCATATATATCCTACTTAATCTTGATGTGAAAAGGGATTTAAGGATAGAATGTCGAAGCAATTGTTACTATGGTTCCTATATCTTCTTCCTAGTGTCCCAAAAGGGTGATTTGGAAGGGGAGGACGCAGGAGGAAGAGTGGAGGGCCGGGGCACAAAGGAGGTTTGTAGTTTTGGAATGTTGCTCTTAAATTTGTGCACATGGAAAACAAGGCTGTCTATTTTAGGGTTTCTATCTGTGCTTTAGGTGGGGAAATATGCTCTAGTTGACCCAACACTGCGGTACCCACGCAAAGGCACCCTCCCTTTATCTTTGTCCTAATAGCCCCATGACATGTTGGGCCATGTGCCCTTCCATGGGGTCCTACAAATTTAAAAGAAACTCAACCGTTACACTTGAAGTTTTGCGGCAAAGGGTGACAACAACTGCATGCAGCTGCTGACTCAAAGCAAAACCTACAAATACTGTTACCAGTTCGTGGCCAAAATACACCGAGTAACCGTTCACATTGACCTCTACCTTGATGATCATCAATTACACACATACAAATATGCAATAAATACAAAGAGTAACCGTTCACATATTTTGATGATCATCAGTTACACACAAACAATTACACACACACACACACACACACACACGCACGCACTATATTCTACCAAAGGGAACATGTTGATCAAGTACATAGGAACATTGTCTGGAGTGGGGACAAAGGCACGCTAGTTTCATGTGGCTCGATGTGTATGTTAGATTATACAAGACCACAAAGGTTGAGTAGGTGGTCACGTGGCTTCTTTTACGTGATAGGCCTACACTTATTAGTAACTAGTGTTCATACTCACTCTGTTTGTGTCATCCATCATGTTACGTGATAAGAGATACAAAGAAAAAAAGAATAAAACATGTTGCATGCAAGTCCTTTTCTCTACAGAGAATGATGCAACAATATCTGTCTAGATTATGTAGAGCAATTTAAACAAAGAGTTGTGATCAAACTTAAGTAAGATAGTTAAGCATGCATTAGGGTTCGAAAGCTTTAGTATTAGAGATAGAGAGAGCATCCAATTGTAGATTTCACTAAAGATCTGAATTCGCTCTTAAGAGACCTCGTCGTTGCGTTCAGTGTCTAACTTTAGTTAGTGGTGGATACGAACGAAACTTTATAAAGGGTAAATATTTTACAGAATCTGGTTAGCCTAGCCTTACAAAACGTGAATATTTTCTCTGCAAAAATGAAAAAGCCGAAAGGACAAAGTAGAATATGCAATCACTTAACAAAGGTACAGAGTTTTCGAAAATGACCAAAATAATCCAACCAAGAAAAGGCTGCAGCCCGTTGAGGACGAGGTACCTTTGCTTGCAAATATATATACATATATATGTGTGTGTGTGTGTGTATTTTTTTTTTTTTGTTCATTTCCCAACCCTTATAAGAATCCAAATCTAAATAACTGGTACCAACTGAACCAGAAAAAACTGCAGTCCAATACATAATATATTTAACATTTTGTTTGTACATTTGTGTGTTGTCACTTCATGAAATATGAAATATGCATATTTCATGAACTTATATAAATTGTGTTCTAGAAAGAAAATTTAGAAGGAAACTTTGGCACTTCAAATTAAAATATCATTTTGTACTCCTTACAAGTGTATTTTTCTTTCTAAATATTAAAAGTTTAGACTTTAAAATGAGAATTAAATTATTATTATTATTATTATTATAAATATTAGATGCAAATAAAATGAATCAAATAATTTATTGATAGACTTTGGACCCAAGTGTGAAATGAAAATAATTGAGGATAAAAGAATTGGAACTTTTATAAGGTGATAATTAAAAAAGATTTAGTTGGCAAAAACAATTGCTACAAGAGCAAAAGAGGGGAGATTTGCTCACATGATTTGCTAGCAAATCCCTCTCCCCACCATATCTCATATATTTTTCTTCTAATGATCATCATAAGTCACCGCTCCCTAGCTATGACTTCATCCTACGAGCAAGGATATGATAAATAAAAACCCAAATCTAATCCAGCCAGTTTGGAGTAATATTGTGTCCACGTGTCATTCTATATATGGCATATCTGTTCAACTTGGTGTAATTTTTACAATTAAAAGGTAATTTGACTTGCATGATGATAAGTGAGAAGTTTAGTTGGAGTATCCATATGTACTCATGCCAAATCCAATTTAAACGAGAGAGTTGGTGATTCTTTAAATTTTCATCCGAGTAATAATGTGATTGTGATTAGATTTGATTTAATAAGACTCATGGTCAAGAAATGCGCACTTAAATAGATGGTCAATCAAGAAAAAAAAAGTCAAGTTTCACTATCAACTAAAAAGATAGCATGCGTATGCGCATGCTTTTAGCAAAAAGAACACGATTTTTGTTACAGGATTTTCTTCCTCTTTTTAGCTTACTTGTTAGGAAATGACATAACTTCTTGCTGTATGATTTTTAGGATACATGTATATGCTTCTTTATTAATGAATGAAACATCGTATTCTTCTTCAAAACATGATATAAATTTCTTTTACTTTGCATTTTTTTCTTCTAAATCCTGCTCACAAAAGAAACCCCCTTCTCCACCAGCATGGAAACCCAATGGAGTTTGGATGATATTGTTTTGTTATTTGAATAGAGTTAGTGGTAGAGCCAAGATTTTATATGTAGATGTCCGATAGGCAACCCATATAATATTAAAGAAATAATAAATAATAGTGTTTGTGCAAATCAAGGAATGATTAAAGCTTGCTCAAATGGTTTGTTGGAGGTAATGAAATTGAGATTCTACCATAAAATCAATCGGCAATATGGGGAGTAGCTCAATACCATACAAGCCCTTAGCTAGCCTTGTCTTCCATTGATGTGGGACAAACTGTCCATACATATTCAACTCTCAACACACCTCCTCACGTGTGACTGATTTTCAAGTCTACACGTGGACAATAAGTGGGTGATGTGTGAGCACGTGTAGCCCTTTGAACTTTCATATGAAGACAACCAGCTTTAATACTATGATGAATTA